GCAACCTTCAGAGAGATGACAGGGACCAAAGGCTAAGTTGATCACCAATGGTTAATGATTTAATCAATCATGCTTATGCTAGTGGATTTTGAGTCTAAATCTGTAAAGAATAAAAAGATCATTATTTGAAATCTTAGGAAAATTTCAAACCAGGTTCAACAGCTTTAGACAGAAAACTGAGTCAATGTTCCCGAAGTAGAAGAGAGAGTACACAAAAAGTTTTTAACTACTACAAGATAATTAGCATTCTTTGCAGTGAAACTGCTGCTGAAGTAACAAAACTGTGAGGGGCTACCAATTTCCATGAACTATGAGAAAGCTAAAGGCAGACAAGGACGTCCCTGAAACAGACCATGAGACAGATGTCTGATAATGTTCGTTCTGGCCGCACATACTGAGTTTCTCTAGCTATCTTATTCTAGAAGCCCGGCATCAAGAGGTGAAGTGAGTCAAAGTTCACATTTCACCCTTGGCGGAGGCTGGAATTCTTCTCCCCATTGGTTCCCAACCTCCATTTTGTTTGCTCTGAAAAACTTGTCTCTATATCGCTGTTCGTGTTTCACAGTCACATAATAAAGCACCCATTAAAAGGACGGCTTCAAGATAACTGAATAGGTGAAGGTTCTTGGAATATGGTACACCCAGAGAGAAGACGGAAGCTCCCTTTCCATATGCTTTGCCCTATGCATCTCTTTCATCGGCTTATCCATTCATATCCTTTACAATATTTTTCATAATAAATGAGTAAACATAAGTCTTGTCTTCCTGTGAGTTCTTGAGACACTCTAGCAAGCTAATATAACCTAAAGAGAAAGTCATAGGAGGAGGTTATGGGATCCGCAGTAGCACATAGGCATGGGTAATGGACGATTCCGGGGGGAGGCTGCAACAGTTACAGATCATAAGGAATTCAGAATTCAGCTCTTCCCTTGTCCTTGAAGTGTGACAACCTCCCCTCCTTAGCTAGGCTGAAGTTGCTGAGCTGTGTTGGTTATTTTTTGTAATATGAGTGGCCTGGCTGGTCATTTTCTGTCTCAGCAAAACAGTCCAGATTGACAGAGAAAGTGAAATCTGTGATGGATAAAATTGATCTATATAACTTGCAAAACAGTGACTAGAGTGTTTTAGCCACTGTTGAAAACTTCTAGGTAGTATTCTCTGAAGCTAAACCTACCATGCACAGATAAATGCACAACAGAAATTGAAACATATGCTTAACCAAATATATGCATGTGTGTTCATACTAGCTTTATTTATAAGAGCCAAATGCATATAACCCAAGAGTTCATCCACAATAGAACAGATAAATTACAGTACATTCATAAGATGGGCTAGTATGTAAACATAAGAGAATGGACTACTACAGCATACAACCTGGATGAATTTCACTGCACAATTTGCATGAAAGAAGTCAGACAACAAAGAGTATATACTGTAAGATTCTATTTATATGTAGTCTAAGAACAGGGAAAATGAATCCATGCACAGAAATCAGAATGGTGATTACTTTGGATGAAGGTCACAAGAAGGTGGACACAATAAAAACTTCCCAGGGTGCTGGAAAACTTTTGTTTCCATCCTCATAGTTGTCTATATTCCTCAATTTTTATAATAGGTATGAATCTTTTCAAATTCAAAAATGTCATTTCAAAAAAACAGTATGTCAATTTATTACAATTATGAAATTCATAGAGACAACAAAAAGGCTGGGGAAAAAATGCCATGAAAGTGCATTGTAGCCAATGGTATTGGTGGTTAGATGGCTGGATCCTACATGTCTCAGACCCAGCAACCTGAAAAACATGCCAGAGATCGATGTGTGCAGGCCCAAAATCCTGAAGAGAATGGAGAAGGTGTTTTCTCACTTTCTATCTCTGCCTCTCCAGTGAATGTACTTGCTTTAGAGCAAATAGTTTTTTTAATATATTTTTTTTCAGCATATCAAAAACTTTATTTTCAGATTTTCATACTGTTTACATACAAACTAAACTGTTTTATATATTATCCCACAAATTAAATTGCTCAAATATCATTATTGAGAACATGACTATTCAAAAAGAACTGCAGACATTGTAAAAAGTTTTCTTTGTCCTATTTCAAAATCTTCCTAGACAGGATGTTAGATAGCAACCACATATAATATGTGTGAGTGAATGAAATAAGTGTGTCCTTTGCAATAAAACGTCTGAGATTTTATGTAATTATAGGCATGTTGAATGAATAGTTTAGAATAATGTACCACTGTCATCAAATCTGATCTTCACATACATGTGTAATCCATTTTGCACAATGGTTTCAACGCAGTATGTATGTAATTAAACTGTAAGGTTCAGTAATAGCTGCTGCTCAGTTGAAATTTTGCTTTTTCATTTTACAGAAATGAATAAAAAACATAGTCTAGTGAACATCAAAGTACTTTTTTGAGACTGTTAAATCTCATCAAAGAGGTCTTCGGGACTGCTGTTCCTTAGCGTTTCCAAAGACATGTTTTCGGTTGAAATGTGCTCCTTTTTCAATGACTCAGGTAGTGAAGAATCAAGTTTTTCCTTTTCTTGCAGTTGAGATTCCTGAGGAGCAATTTTAGGTTCTGTCCCAAGATTTTTTAGCATTCGCTGCCTCCTCTTTCTACTTGGTGCAATATCGATGACATCAGGACTTGAAATAATGGAATCTTCTTTTCTTTCCGTGGCTGCAGCCAACTCAGAGAGACCAGACAGATTTTCACTTTCCTCATCAGTACTTTCATCATAGATTGCATCTCTGTCAACAGTCATTTCAGAACAGGTTGCAGTTTCCCTTTCACATTCAGTGTTCTTTTGTAGTTCTTGAACTTCATTTAATGATTTCTGTAAGGTTCGAATCTTTGTTTTCTTCTCATTCAACACCAAAATAAATCGTTCATAAAGATCCATCTCCAAAGCTTCCTTTGCACTCACACATTTTTCAAACCGTCCTTCAATATCATTCCAATCTCTCAGAAGCCTTTCATTTTCTTTCTGCAGGTGCTCATTTTTGGCTTGGTTTTCTGTGATGGTGTCCAGGCAGTAACAAATAAGTTCTCTAATGACCTCAGCTGGGCTTGCAACTTTCTCTAGGTTGAAGGAACCAAGTCTGAATGAAACATCTTTCAGGTTTTTCTCGAAGGAGAAGTGACAAGACTCTTTAGAAAAATTAAAGTTGTATGCATCAGCTGGTCCTGTTTCTGATACCAATGCTTTTCTCAGCTCATCAACATATTTCTCTTTTTCCATTGCCATGTCATCAGCTTCTTGGGAAATCTCTGATTCGGAAACTGTCCCAATCCATGCAGACTGACCATCAGTAAGTGTAATAACAAAACCAGATCCTAGTGTTTTCTCCCAAGATACTTGTAGAAAATGAATTATATTGGGTTCAGAAGCAAGGTAGATTCTTCTTACTTTTCTCTCCATTTCTGGTTACCTTTAGATAACTCCACTTCCAGTTTCAATATATTGAAATACTAACAAATTTTTCTCTAAGAGCAGGAATAATGTTTTCCTTGCTTTCTATTTTTCTGTTTTCTTCGTTTTCAGCATTAAGCATGTATTGCTTTCTTTTTCATTTCTCTATATATCATTATTGCAAATCTATGCAAGTAAAAATGTTCACCTGAATAAATTTCTATTGATTTTAAAAACACTGTAAAAAAGCTGCAAAAATCCTTAGTCAAGAATAATATACCTTTCAAACTACACAATGTTTTCACTAGTTTAATATAAAATCCACAGATTAATTTTAGGGAGTTGGTATTTTGCAACTATTTGTTTTTTGTTTTGTACTTTTTTCTTAACCATGATTTTTTTTTTTTTGTTTGTTTGTTTGTTTGTTTTTGGAGAGGTTTTCGCTATAGGGCGTGTATGCTCACTCGCCAGAAAGACAGAGAGAGACAGAAAGCGAGAAATCAGCCCCCAGGAGGAATGGCCATGCCGCAATCCCTTCTCCTCCATTCTCCTCTTGGGATCTTGGGCACGCACGCACACATGCCCGGCATGAGTTTAAGCTGCCAGGTCCGGGACTTGAACCTCAGTTGACTATGTGGGAGTCCAGCGACATAGCCATTATGCTAACTGCTGGTCCCAACCATTATGGTTTTAAGAGAGGATTTGTTTGAGTTTTATTTTTTCATTTAATCATTGTATGTCTTTACAGCATATGGGTTCCCAAAGTATAAATGTATTGCATGCCAAACAAAGATATTACCATACACAATAACTTTCCTTTCTTGTTTCTGATACATTTCTTTTTCCTGAAGCCTCTCCCTCCAAATCCTGTCCACCTCCTCCTGTACAGACGCTGCTATCTACACTTAACTCGACACTTTTTTCATTTCTGCAATAGAGTACAGATGTTCAGCATATATTGAGCAAGGGTACACAATGTCTGTCTTCCATAGTCTGACTTGCTTCACTGACATTAAATCTTCTACATACATACACTTGGTATCAAATAATAGGATTTTACTGATTTTTAAGGCTGAGTAGTATTCCATAATGTGTATGTGCAATTCAGTCCTCTGTTCTTGGGCATTTGGGTTGGTTCCATGTCTTAGCAATTGTGAAGACTGCAATAAACATGAATATTAAAATGTCCTTCCAACTGAGTGTTTTTCTGTCCTTTGGGTAAATACTAAGGAGTGGGGCTATTGGGTCATATGGAAGTTCTATTTGTAGGTTTTTAAGGACCCTCCATATTGATCTCCACAGTGGCTGTACTAATAATGTACACGCCCACCAACAGTGTAGAAGGGTTCCCTTTTTATATAGCTTCACCAGCACTTGTATTTTTTCTTTCTTTTTTTTTTTAGAAAGATGTTTGGTATAGGGTGTGTGCACTTGCTGGAGAGACAGAGAGATATAGAGACAGAAAGTGAGAAATAATCCCCCAGGGGGATGGCCATGACACAACTCTCCTCTCAGGATTGTGGGCATGCATGCACATGGGCCCAGTCTGAGTTTTAAGTCACCAGATTTAGGATTAAACCACAGTCAACTACGTGGAAGTCCAGCAACGTAACCATTATGCCATCTCATTTTTTTTTTTTTTTAAATCATAGTCATTCACACTGGGGTTAAATGGTACCCCATTATGGTTTTGATTTGCATTTCTCTTACGATAAGAGATGCTGAACTTTTTTCATGCCTTTTGTCCATTTGCATGTCTTCCTTGGATAGTTATCTGTTCAGCTTGTTTGCTCACTTTTTATTTTGATTGTGTATGTGTGTGGGTAGGCTGATTAAGTTCCCTATATATTCTGCTTAAGAGTCTCTTATCTGAAGCATAATTTGCAAATATTCTCTCTTCACTCTAATTATTGTTTCCTTTGCTGTGCAGAAGCTTTTTAGCTGGATATAGTATCACTTTTCTATTTTTGAGCTTATTGCCCGTGCTTTAGGGGTCTTATTAAAGGAATCTTTGCCTACTCCAATGTCTTCAAGAGTTTCCTTTATGTTTTCTACCACTAGTTTTATGGTTTGAGTCTTTATGTTTAGATCTT